GCAATACTTGTTCTTTCATAAAAGATGGTGTCAAATTTATATTAGCACCTCTACCACCTAGTGAGATTAGTCAAGCCGTGAGGGAGTCTAAGCCATTAGTGACTTTGATGACCAAGGAAGAGTTTAAGGTGACAAAGTTTGAAACCCAAACGATGAGTTTCATTCTAGTGCTTAAGGCGAACAATAAATTGACCAATCTGTTTGGAGTCATGCCATTATTGTCTGAATTTTCAAATGTGATACATGATGAGATACCACTAGGGTTGCCTCCCATGTAAGACATACAACATGCTATTGACTTTATTTTAAGAGCAGCCATTCCTAATAAGTATGCTTACAGGATGAGTTTCAAGGAACATGCTGAAGTTCAATGACAAGTTGAAAAGCTGTTGAAGAAAGGGTTGGTTCAAGAAAGTGTTAGCCTTTGCATTGTACCTATTCTTCTAGTACTTAAGAAGGATGGGAGTTGGAGAATGTGCATTGATTGCTGAGCTGTCAACCAAATCACTGTCAAGTATTGGTTCTTGATAACCTAGCTCAAGGATATGTTAGATCAACTGTATGGTGCCACTACCTTTTTCAAAATTGACCTTCATAATGGATACTATTAAATTAGAATTCAGCCAGGAGATGAGTGGAAGACTGTTTTCAAGACAAGAGATAGCTTGTATGAGTGGAATGTAATTCCTTTTAGGTTAACAAATTCCCTTAGCACATTCATGTGTCTGATGAATCAAGTATTGAGACCCTTCATTAAAAAAAATTTTGTTGTTTATTTTGATGACATTCTTATTTATAGCAAGAGTTAAGAAGAACACTTAGATTAAGTATGACAAGTTTTGCAAGCTCTGTGAGAATAGAAACTTTATGCCATTCTAAAGAAGTACACCTTCCTTACTAATGCAGTTGTGTTCTTAGGTTACATCGTAACTGCAGAGAGTGTTCGAATTGATCCAAGCAAAGTTAAGGCTATTAACAACTGGCCAACTTTAAGATTTGCAAAAGTTTGAAGCTTCCATAGATTAGTTTCTTTTTATAGGAGGTTCATTCGTAATTTTAGCTCTATTGCTATACCATTTACATATTGTACCAAGGGAGATAAATTTTAGTGGACAGAACAAGCTCAAAACATTTTTGAGGAGCTAAATAAAAGGTTAACTAAAGCTCTTATCCTAGCTTTTCCCAAATTTGACCAAGTGTTTGAGGTTAATAATGATGCCTCCAACACCAAAATTGGTGCCGTCTTAAGCCAAAAGGGCCATCCCATCGCTTTTTTCAATGAGAAGCTTAATAATGCTAAGCTTAGGTATTCTATCTATGATAAAGAATTCTATGCCGTTGTCTAAACTCTCCAATATTAGAGTCACTATCTCTTGAACAAGGAGTTCATACTCTTTTCCGATCATAAGGCCCTCAAGTATTTGAATTCTCAGCAGAAGATTAGCTGTAAGCATGCCCGTTAGAGTGAAATCTTACAATCTTATCTATTTGTTATTAAGTATAAGGCTAAAACTTTGAACTCTATGGCTGATACTCTTAGCCGTTAACCTTTGTTACTCACAACAATGTAGACCAAAGTTGTTGTCAAAGAGCTGTATCGGAATGATCTTGATTTTCAAGGAGTATGGGAAGCAACTGTAAATCAATCATTCCACCAATTTTATAAACATGATGGATTCTTGTTCTGTGGCAAAACTTTATGTATTCCACAGAGTTCCTTGAGAGAGGCTATAATTTGGGAATCTCACGAAGGAGGACTAGTTGGTCATTTTGGTAGAGACAAAATAGTTGATCTAATTAAGGAGAATTTTTATTGGCCAAGACTTGAACGAGATGTCAATAAGAGCATACCAAGATGCAGGATATGTCATTTAGCTAAGGCTAAGGGTCAAAATACAAGATTGTATATGCAACTGCTAGTTCCAGAAGCACCATAGGAAGATGTGAGTATGAATTTTATTCTTGGTTTACCATGGACTCAGAGGCAGAAAGATTCTGTCGTTGTAGTCATGGATTGATTTTCAAAGAAAGCCCATTTCATTGCATGCCAAAAAACCAATAATGTGGCTCCTATAGCAGATTTATATTTCAAAGAGATTGTTCATCTCCATGGTATTTTTAAGACTTTCACCTCTAATCATGATGTTAAGTTTCTCAGCCACTTTTGGTGGATGCTATGGAAGAAGATGGGAACTAAGCTTCAATTTAATAGTGCTAGTCATCCCCAAACGGACAGTTAAACTGAAGCTATAAACAAAGTTCTTGGCAGTCTTCTTTGAAGTTATGCGGGGAAGAAATTGAAACTGTGAGATCTCATTCTTGCTCAAGTTGAATTTGCCTACAATAATTCTGTCAACTAGGCATCTGAAAAATGTCCATTTAAAGTTGCTTATGGCATTCGTCTGCTTAGTCCTCTAGATTTGACTCCTTCACTTGATAAGCAGTAATATAGTTCTAATGCAGATATATCAAAGGGCTGAGGAATCAAGAAGTTGTACAAACAAGTCCATGAAAGAATCTAGAAACAGAATTTCAAACTCATGACATAGTAGGACAAGCATTACAAGTAGCAAATCTTTAATGGGAGAGACTTGGTTTGGATACATAAAAGGAAAGAATGTTTCCCTAAACAAACCAATACCAAGTTAGTGCCTAGAGCTAGTGGTCCACTGAAGATTGTACAAAAAATCAACAATAATTCTTATAAGGTTGAATTACCTAGTACATATGGAGTTTCTACAACTTCCAATGTTGCTGACTCGTCACCCTATCTTGTTGATGATGTTGAACTTACCTCGAGGGCGAGTTTTGTCCAACCCAAGGAGGATGAAACAGAATAAAGCTAGACACAACATAGCAGCACTGTTGTTACGCCATTCATCTCCATTAATGCAGCCACACAGCCCATCCGTTTTCCATAAACGTTCATCTCAGTAATAAACATTAATCCCTTTTTAATTTCAGTTGTAATCCCCTCCCTATCCAAATAGTATAAATAGGATGCTTTACACTGTACGGAAGACACGAACCAATTGAGAGGAATAAACTTGCAGAGTTTTTCCTATTCTTCTAGTTTCTATACCACTTAACTAGGTTATAAATAGTTCAAGATAATATATATATATATATTGATTTTGTGGATGTCAAATGTGTTTTCAAACTCGGTTTCACCCTTTTTTTTTTTCCTTTTGAAAGATCAACCATAAAAAAATTATTATGTGTAAAGTGTTAACTTGTTTAGTAAAAACCTTTCAGGTATAAAACAAAATTCTTAAATATACTGAACCAAAAATATGTAGACATGTAAGCATGTCAATTGTTTATAGACCATCTGTTTATTGTTGATGGTCTACCTCAAATTTTGAAGTGACTATATAGTGTCTGTTTGGTTTCCCTTTAAAATTAATTTTGAAAGTTAAAACTTTGATTTTGTGAAAATATATTCAAATAGCCCTAGTTGTTGAGCATTAATAGTTTATTTCCAGCGGTGAAAAACTAAGAGCTGATGCTGTTCAAATTCTTCATTTTCCTTTTTATTCTTTGTTGGTGGGAAAAAAATTCTCTATTTTCTTCTGCTACCAATAGGAGTCAGCTTTTATAAATATAGTATCACATGGAAAAGTTAAATGGAGGGTAGAATCAATTTCTCTGAACAAAAATTAGTGAGAGAATCATAGAAGTGTAGTTCAGTAGAATGAGTTCATGTCATTATAACTTTTTCTGATATTTTGCTGTATTAGTTGTTAAAATCACATCATCATCTTGGTTTTGTTTCAGAAGGTGGAATGCAGCTGCAGCAAACACCTCAATTTGGCATCGACTTCACACCTTCCTCTTCAAGACACTCTACCATTTTATAAATTCTCTCAATTAAGTATCTGGTTGGACGTAGTTAACAATCAGGACGGTCAAATGCATTGCTTTGTCAGTCATAGATTAGCAGGGATGGTCAAAACATACAGAAGGACTCATTCTGCACCATTCAATATGTATCTTTGACCCTCCCCAATTGTGTAGTTCAATCTCAGATTCATATAAAGTTATCTCTCTGATTTTGTAGAACCTATGAACCTTACATTGCCTCTTCCAGAAAATGGAATGGATTACCATGCAAAATCACTCAAGTTATCTGTCACTATCATATGTGAGAAACTCTTGATTACCATCTCCCCCAGTATCCAAGTTATCCAACGCGTAAGGGGATGCATAGTTCACGCCTTTAATCAGGTTCAATCTTGAGCAGACATTTATTTTTGGGAGAATACTGTCCAACATCCTCCTAAAAAAATTATTTAAAACAAAGACCAATGCAGAATTGATTATTAAAATAATAATAGTGATATATTTTTTTTCAAATGGTGACTTGTTAGTTTTTGCTTGTAAATAATTTTTTTGAGAGATTTTTAAATGTGATTCTCCCTTGATTTTTTATCTCTATAGGTAAGTGTATATTTAATAAAGATACAGTTTTTTTTTTTTGCTACAATTACTTTGTGTGCCTAAATTTATTTGTTTGATAATGCTTATTTAGTGTGTTTAGAAACCTACATTGACTTTGGCCAAAACAATGTAAGAATAGTTTTGTCTTGAAAGTAGCAAAAGTTTGTTTTTAAAATGTTTAATAAACTCAGTTTGAATTTAAATTTAGATCAAATCTTTCATTTGAATAAATAAAAGTCTATGAATTTAGATTTAATTTAAATTTAAATTAAATTCATGTTTTATAATAAATTTTTTATAATTTTAAATTTTATCCATATCCTAATTATTGCATGAATAAACAAATTGTCATTGTGTTTCTATTAAATCCATATTTGAAGACCATATCTTATCCCTGCCTGGAGTGGAAATTATTACTTACTCCCTTGCTTTTCGCATCGATTGTCCCAAACAAAAATGAGCTAATTAATTTTAAGTTTTTAAAATAATTCATATGCCAGGCCTAATAGTCCTTTACTTTCTTTTTGATTAAAGATCAATGAAAAAAAAAAAAACAAGAAAAAGTCGCATTATACAATAATCGTCTGGAAAAATAAAATGGGAAGATTGGAGGTGGACACAGTAACCGTTGCAAAGGAGGCAAGTAGGTGGAAGATGTCCAGCTCGATAGTGCTGTGCTGAAGACCTCTATGTCGCGTATATGTGGAGGAATTTCGCCGGAAGCAACCGATTTGAAGATCACGGTGAATCGAAAATTCAGGAAGCTGGCGAATCCTGGTTTCAACAATCCAGTATAGGCATGCACGCAGTACGGCTACTGGGAACTAAACGGGATCCCAGTTTGTCGACCTTTGACAGAGGAATTCGTGCAAGACTACATTGTTGAGACAAATTTGAACCCTAAACAGGTACGATTTCTGGATTTGAATAAAGAGGTGCTGATCCTTTACTTTTCTTTTCAAAAATGGATCTGCACGGGTGTCATTATATTATTCAAGATCAATTAAAAAAATCCTAAAATACTTCTTGGAGATCTGAATCTTGGTATGAAAGCATCTTTATGCACCCAAATCGTCAAAAGAAGTTTTTGTTAAATGACTAGGAGTGAGTTTGATCCTTTTTATTCAAGCTTATATTTGTGACTCGTATATAATTCTTATTCTTCTCATCCATATCAATTTTATTTGAACTAAAAAAATTTGTATTCTTTTTTAGACATTTAATTATCATCCCTGAAACTAAATATAACCAATATAAATTGTATAAGTGCCTTATTTTTCTAGTTACTAATAAAAGCTTAATATGATGTCTCGAGAATAAAGACAAATATAAAACTTTTCAATTCAACAAACCAAAGTTTTTTTAATTTGAAACATGACTGATGTCTGTACTCTGCACATGACCAAATTCAAACAGTAGACAATGGAGAGGGAACGTGGAAATCACGCAGAAGTCAAATTGCCATTTTAAATTAGCCAACTTTCTTTCCAACGAAGATTCTTCGCATAGGTAATGATAAGAAAGTTACCCAGAAATCTTCTTCTTTGCTTGAAAACTATATTGGGTGATACACAGACTTCATCATGGCTCTTAGTTTCCCAAAAAGGTTTGATCGACAAGTGAAGCCAGGTATGATGATCATCTTCCTTACTCCTTATAATAACACGCGCACACACACACACACACACACGTATGCATATAAATTTTATAATGTATATATTTGCACTATTCCTTTCGTCAAGAGATGCCATATTCCTACTGAATTCATGTCTTTCTTGTATCGACAAGGTTGATCAATGAGATGCAATGTTGATAACTTACAAATGATATGGTTTGTTGTAAAAGTTATTTTATATATTGAGGCATCGATAACGGTATATTGATACATTGATTATTGTGTTCTCATTCTGCTTCACCATCTATCATTTCAATTTCATGTTGATGTATCAATTTAAATTTAAGCAAAATTTATAGCAATGCTCGTTAAGAGTTGGAATTGAATACAGCTTCCCTCCAACAATTTATTTTCATGTTACCCAAGTAGAAGCTTTGCCTTCATTTATAGAAGCCCCTAAATCATAGAAAGTTTTGCAATAATTATCATGATCTTATGATTGCTATTCAATAATTAGATCTTATTTCTTTCCAGCAATGGCTTCTTCTTCCACCAAAGTTGCTTAGAAAAAATATGATGTGTTTATCAGCTTTAGAGGTTCAGACATCACAGATGGGTTTCTAAGCCATTTGAAAAGGGAGTTGAGTAAAAAGGGTATAAATGTCTATGTAGATGAGAGGCTGGAGAGAGGAGATGAAATATCACCAGCACTTAAGAAAGCAATAGAAGAATCAGTGATATCATTGGTGATATTTTCCAAAGACTATGCATCTTCAAAGTGGTGCCTGGAAGAGCTTGTCAAAATCATGGAATGTAAGGAAGACAATGGACAGATTGTGATACCAGTTATTTACACAAGATGGATTCATCTGATGTCAGGAATCAAAAAGGTACTTATGCAGATGCGTTCACCAATCATGAAGAGAAGTTCAAGTGTTACATGGACATGCTACAAATATGGAGATCTACTTTGACTAAAGCAGCTAACTTGTCAGGCTATCACTATCCATCAAAATTTCAGTAAGTTTAGTTTTTTTTTTATTTAATTAGCTCATTTCATAGCTCATCAATTATTATCTTGTATATATTCCTGTATTATTTTTAAGGTATTGAAAACCAGACAGATCATTATACCATTTAAGGCAATGGTTTAAGAGTTAATGGTCAAAATTGTAGTCGAATTGTGCTCGAACTGGTTATAAGCAAAACATTTTATTGAATTGTTCAAAGTACTGATTCAATGGTTTACTGATTTAATTGGATGAGTTGACCTGGTTTTTAATATTATAATTATTTGTATCATGTATAGCTATTATTATTATTATTATTACTATGTTTTTCATGCCTTTTCTTCTTTCTTTAACAGCATGCCAGAAATGAATTGGATCTCATTATCGAAGTGATAAAAGATTTATGGAAAATATTGGACGATAGAGAACCAGATGAAGAACTAGAGCACCTGGTTGGATTTGGTGAGAATTTGGCCAGCGTTGAACCATTTATGAGAGTTGACTCACAAGAAGTTCAGCTTCTTGGAATTTGGGGCATGGGAGGGGCAGGGAAAACAACGCTGGCTCGTGCTGTGTTTCGCAAATTTTTTCCCCAATTTGATAGCTATTGCTTTGTGGGAAATGTGAGAGCAGAATCAAAAAGCACTGGATTGTGTAATTTGCTTAATAAAATTCTTTCTGTACAACTGAATAAAGAAAATCTTGAAATGGGAGGAGGACATGACACGGTACCTGCAAAAAGGCGACGTGGAATAAGAGCTCTTCTTGTGTTTGATGATGTATGTAATAACCTAGATGTTTAAAATGATAATAAATTAATTAAACATATGTTAGTTATATTAATTTTGAGACAATTAGGACAAGAAGGAATGTTAGTGTAGTGGAAACTATGCAAATAATATGCCCTTTAGGTCCCAAGTTTGAACCTGACTTTGGCCTAAAGGAGATTTATTTAATTTTATTATTTCATGAAATTACCAATATGTCCTTCTTTGCATCAGATTTTTCCCTTCTCCTTTTAATTCTTTTTTTTTTTCAAACATTTGAGAAGCAGAGATCGAGAGAGCTAGATATCTGGGTCCTTGCTTGTCTCCCGTCGCGTTTCTGCTTCCTCCCCTCTCGATCGTCGGTCACCGTCGTCTGTGTAAGTCTCTATCACCGGTGCCTGCTGCTATTTCGTCCGCTGTAGCTGTGAGATTTCTCTTCCTATCTCACCACTCCTCCACCTCTATCATCGTCCCAAGTATGCCCAGTTCTTCTTCTTTTTTTTTTCTTGTTGTTTCGTGTGTATAATTGCTTAAGCAAGCTAGAATTCTTTCTTCCTTTTTGCTTCTTTGGTCACCGCCGAGCTGCTCATCTCTTTTCTATGCTTAATTCTGGTTTTCATTATCTCCCCTATACAGACCTGATGTTTGCTTCCTCCTCCCTGTTTGGATGTTGTTAATTCATCTAGGTGATAAGCTTTGATCTCTTCTTCTTTCCTTAGACAACTGTGGTGCATGTAAATGGAAGAAGTGAAGGGGTGAAGTTTGCAATTTGTTTTCTCTCAAAATCTGCTGTTGTCATTGCTGTGCTGTGAAAAAAAATGGTTGAGAATTTAACTTAAAGTTTGATAAAGGTATACTCATAGGTTATAAATTTTGAGTTAAATTAGACTTGTTAGATTGGTTAATGTAGAAGTATTTGTTTAAATGAAATTGAAAGAGAATATTTTGAATATAAATCTTGAATATCGGCACTTATAAGATGATTGTTGAAAGGTTTATTAGAAAAAGTTGCAAAGAAGGTCTGATTTTGGAAGTAATATGTGAATATCTGAATTTTTGGAAATTTATTTCCTAAATTCAAATTGACATCTAATGGGAATTGGAGTTGTGAAGTATTATAATTGTGTTGATAACTATCAGGGAAAATGATTTAAGAAAGTAAAGAGATTTAAATAATAATAAAGGACAAACTTTGATTTATTTAAGTTGATTGTGATTTTGCTATTAGAGTAAGAGAGTTTGTTCATCTGGTAGCAAATTTATTAAAATTCTATCATGTTTAATAAGGTCACTAGAAGAAGGGGAAACTTGATTGTAGCTGTAAAAAGAAGGAGATTTTTGGAATTAGGTGGTATATCAGGTAAGTAAATAACGTTCCCTGTAAGTCAAAAATGAGGATGATTTTTGTCTGAATAAATAAATAGAACTTTTCTCGAGGAAATTTTATGTTTATACATATATATTATGGAGCCTTGAAATGTTTGCATTGAAGAATGTACCTGGTTTCATAGGATTTAAATTTATTAGCTTATATTTTCATTTGGTTATTTGTTTTCCAAAACACATTATTCATGCATGGATTGAACAATCTACCAATGGGAAGATCTAGTAGGCATTAATAATTTGTGAACAAATTGAGCTACAAATATATTTTCCTTCCATGTATGCCAGAAATGTTTTATAGGACTGAATACAGAATGCTGGTTGCTAACGACAGTTTCATTAGCCCTTGGCGCGCTATGGCACACCTAGCTAGCAGGGTATATGGGAGATGCTAGCCCCGTGTGTCGGCCAACACACGTGGAATGGAGGATATAATTTCATAGATATAATCCACGCCTGTTATTCATGAGCTTTATGCTTGCGCCTGTTTTTTGTAGTTTCTAACTACGCCGGATGTTACTTGCCCTTGTGGACTGTGTGTCCACACCTGTTATTCGTTCTATTTAAGTCCTAACAGAAAACCAATTTTCCAAATTGTTTACCTTTAAGAACTAGTATCGTTGTAAAAATAAAGATTTACACATGGTTTTTATTGATTTGGAAAAAACTTATGATCGTATACCAAGAGAAGTGCTTTGGAAAGCGTTGGAAAAAAAGGGAGTACGGATTGCTTATATTAAAGCCATACAAGATATGTATGAAGGGGTAAAAACTAGTATAAGAACGCCTAGTGGTCAAACAAAGGATTTTCCTATAAAGATTGGACTTCATCAAGGATCATCTCTGAGTCCTTATCTGTTCAACTTGATCCTACATGTTTTGATGGAACATATTCAAGGAGAAATTTTCAAATGTATGTTCTTTGAGGATGATATAGTTCTTATAGCAGAGACAAGAGAAGAGGTTAATTGCAAACTTGAGTTATGGAGGAGGACATTAAAGTCGAAAGGTTTCCGTCTGAGTAGGAGTAAGACGGAATATTTATATTATAAATTTGGTAAGAGACTATTTGACAATAATTTGGAAGTAAAATTGGGAGATCAAATTATACCTCAAGTGGAAAAGTTTAGATATTTGGGAGCCATTATTCAAAATGATGGTGAAATCAGTGGAGATATTTCACATAGGATTCAAGCTGGGTGGTTTAATTGGAGAAAAGCTAAAGGAGTTATTTGTGACCGTAAGGTGCCTAATAAACTTAAAGGAAAGTTTTATCGCACTGCTATCAGACCGGCAATGTTATATAGTAGTGAATGTTGGGCTCTAACAGGACAATAAGAGTATAAAGTTGGAGTAGCAGAGATGAGAATGTTACGATGGATGTGTGGACATACACGTAAAGATAAAATTCGAAATGAGCACATACGCGAAAAAGTGAGGGTAGCACCTATTGAGGAAAAAATGGTAGAAAATCGGTTGAGATGGTTTGAGCATGTACAAAGAAGACCAAGGGAGGCACCAGTGAGAAGAGTGGAACATATAACTTTGAGTCTGATTAAGAGGGGTAGAGGAAAGCCTAAGAGAACACTCTTAGAAGTTGTTAAACACGATCTCTTAATTAATAATATTCCTAAAAGCTTGATAAATGATAGAGCACAATAGCGTCTTGCAATCCATGTAGTCGACCCCACCTAGTGGGATAAAGGCTTGTTGTTGTTGTTGTTGTTTACCTTTAAGAACTGTATCGCTATGATTTGTTTTATATAAAAGATAAAATTTTAATTTATTGATCATGATTATCTTTCCTCCTTTCTCTTTTATTACTTAATTATCATTACTTATTTACTTGTTTATTATCTGGAAACGTTATTCACTGAAAAAATTTTGGTATTCAGATAGTGGGAGTGGACCTGTTCTTTAGTAGATCTTGTGGGACTTCTTGAGACGAGGGATATTTTGTTGCTTCAATTACATAGTGGACGAGTGTAAATATCTAAATATTCTATCTTTTTGTTCTAGAATCGCTCCACGAATCATATAGGTAGGATCTTCAGTTAAATTATTTTGGGTTGTACATATAGTATCGGAGTAGAACTCCGAATGTTGCTTGGATGTGTTTTTGGCAAGTTGTAGAAATTTCAGGAAGTTCCACTTACAGTAGAGACTCTGTCGAAATTTCTACAGCTAGTCCAAATATTTTATATTTATTAATAATTATTTAAGACAAATGAGAATTGTACGAAAAATTATAATTAATTTGATAGATGTATTAAGGAATTAGGCTTATGGAATATGAGTTTTCTTATATTCCATCTAATCACACTTCAAAAGTTTGGGGTGTGACAATGTAGACACCTCCAACCAATTACAATATCAAAACTTCATTATATGGGACCAGGCAGCAAAGTCATTGTAACAAGTGGAGATAGACATGTTCTTATAAGTGGAGGAGTTCATGAATTGCATGAGGTCAAAGAATTGAACAATGGCGAATCACTTAAATTTTTCTGCTTTCATGCTTTTAAGGAAGGTCATCCCAAAATGGGATATGAAAAGTTATCAGCATAGGCAGTTGAATATGCTAGGGGCCTTCGCTTAGCATTGAAAGATTTGGGTTCATATTTAAATTCTAAAGATATAAATATATGGGGAGATGTTCTGAAAAAAATCCAAAAGTACCCCTGTAAAGAAATTCAAACTGTATTGAGAGTGAGTTATGATGACCTAGATGATGATGATAAGAACATATTTTTAGACATTGCATTCTTTTTTGGAGGACAGAAAAGAGATGATATTACAAGGGTGTTAGATGCTTGTGGTTCCTACACGGATTGTGGGATAGATAACCTTGTAAATAAATCTCTCATAACAATTTCAAGAGATAACAAAATAGAAATTCATGATTTGCTACAAGAAATGGCTGAAGAAATAGTTCGTGAAGAGTCTAGAAAACATCCTAGAAATCGAAGCTGATTAAATGATGCTGGGGAAATTCATGATGTACTAGAAAATAGCATGGTAAGAAAGGTGAATTCACTTTTTTTGTATTCATTATTTTATTGAATTTTTTAAACTCCATTGTTTCAATATTATGTGATTTTTTTTTTTTTTGTTTAGGGAACTTATAGAGTTGAAGGCATTAAATGGGCTGGAGGCAAAATTAAAAACCCATTGTCCTTGGATGCAGATGCTTTGAAAAGGATGGCAAATCTAAGATTACTGCATATCAATTGTGAAATTTACCTTCCTATGGATTTGAAGCTACCTTCTAAGAAACTAAGGTACTTTAATTGGGAGTACTATCCTTTGGAGTCCTTGCCTTTGGGATTTTGTCCGAAGGAACTCATTGAAATCCATATGCAGTATGGCAGAGTTAAAATACTATGAGATGGTGTACAAGTAATTATATCGTAATTTATGTTTCAGTCTTGTCAACGTCGTCGTTATGTTTCAGTCTTTCAATCCAATTGATTCATGAGGGGATTCTCCAGTAATTTTTCTCTTTTAATCATTTCAGGATCTTATGAATTTGAGGATCTTAAATGTCAGATCCACTGAGTTGGAGGAGTTACCTGATTTATCGATGGCATCTAATCTCGAAATAGTGAGCCTAAATGGTTGTCGTAATTTGCGTAGTGTTCATTCATCTATATTATCTCTCCCGAAACTTGTTTCTTTGGACCTAAGTTGGTGCTGCCGACTAAGGAGTCTTCAAAGTGAGAATCACCGCTCACAATCTCTCAAGCATCTCGAGCTGCTAGGCTGCAATGGTCTCAAGGAACTTTGGTTGTCATCAGCAGAAATGAGAGTTTTAAATTTAAGAACTACGAGTATCAAAATGTTGATATTGCCCAATGGAGGGTTCAATAAACTTGAAGAGCTGTATCTTGGTAGTACCTTGCTCAGGAGCTTTCAAATAAATGAGTGTTGCTTGACATCACTTAAAATACTTTCTTTTCATGGTATGAAAGAGGAAATAATGAAAGGAAACTATGCATGCTGTTTGATGGCTTATGTTCTTTAGAAGAATTGGATTTGATGTCTCTGCAGGTTTCTGAGATCCCAGACAATATCAGTGCCATGTCAATGTTGAAGTCTCTATCACTAAAAGGAAGCAGTGTGGAGAGTTTGCCTACTAGCATCAAGCATCTTTCGAAGCTGAAAAAAAAATTGCTTTGAGAAATTGCAGGAGGGTCAGGTCCTTACCAGCACTTCCGTCTTTCATTACTGAGTTGGATGTCAGCAAGTGCATATATTTAGAGACTATCGAGTTCAGCCCAACAAGTTGGATGTTAGAACCCTGTTATGAAGCGAGATTATTGTTTTCTTTTGAAAATTGTTGTGTCCTGGGATTGGATAATCGTGATATCACAGCATTTGTTCATTTCTCACTAATGCGAGCAATACATAACAATTTCTGTTGTGCTAAAGTTTGTTACCCAGGAAGGACAATTCCAGCGTGGTTCAGATACACTCAGATGACAGAATCTTCAATTAAAATTGAACTTGTTCCTACTTCTCCAAACCATTTATTGGGTTTTCTATGTTGCTGCATTCTTCCTCGGTATACCTTGGACATTGAGGACAGCTTCTCATTGTACAGGATGTTCGACTATAAACATCAAGAGATCAAAGATAGGACAAAATTAGTGTCTGATCTAAGCTATGAATTGATGCAAGATCATGTTTTTCTGTGGTACGAACCTTTGGTAAGCACATCAAAGGGTACTCAGAGATGAGAAGATGATGAGGGCACCACTTCTAAGTTTGAGTTTAAATTCTATATTGTTTTAAAATACTACGATTTTGATTCTAGAGTGACGACTGAGACTGATAGAAGTAACATCACAGATCGGTGTGGAATTTGCCCCACATATGCCTCAGAACGTCACAACATAGTTCAGAAAATGGAATTGTAGTGGAAGGAGGGTACAAAAAGGAAAAGCCTTATAATTGCAATGATTGACTAAACAATATTAGAACTTGAATTGGTGCCCTGCTTATGAGAAGATAGAGCAGCTGGAATTTTGCACACAGGACGAAAGAAAAGCTCTGCTTATAAGTACTGTGTATATATCTTTTTATTATACATACAGTACACAGGATAAAAGAAAAGCTCCCCTGATAAAATCTGTTAGTTACGGGTATCCTTCTTTCCCTTTTTCAAGTATGACAAAATGTTGTCAGCATAATGAATTGGTGCTTTGATTTGATGGGAAGAATGAATAAATATTGTCATTCTCCTATAAATAATATTCATTCTGTACTACTTTTGAATAGAGTGAATGCTTACTATATCTAATCCTATTGATACACCTTTTATATTTCTGTTACTCAAAATTAGAGACAGATTCCTTTTCAATTCTGTTGATATGAGCAGGTTTCTATTCAGAGGACTTCAATGTTATTTCTCCCCTAGCAAACTCCAATCATGTAGCTGTACAGGTACCTATTTTAAAATTAGTTTCACCTTATAGTTTCCGTTGGAATATTAGTTAGCGAGCAGAGTTAGTGGTTAGTTATTTCACTGGCTCAATGTAACGTGAGATTCTAGTCTATATAGAGTCAATCATCATGTTTGTGCATAAACAGAGGTTAACATTGGTCTTCTTCTCGAATCTCCAAAACTTTTGGGATTATTGGTTTCACCCTTAAAGATTATTGATTTGTTGTCGTCTTGTTGTAATGCCGTCATGGATAACTTGATATCATCTTGTGAAGAATTCATATTTTTCTTCATTTTAGATCAATTCACATGGTATCACGAGCGTGTCGATTTCAGGTCATAATGCTTTCAGTCTAATTGTTTCTTTGGGGGCCTAGTACACTTGATTCGACGTTCTCATTTCAGTGGTTTCCCAACAAGCCAATATTCTCCCAGCTACATCAGCACCTTTGAAACCCAAGAAGTAGTGCAGTGGCAAAGGATTTCACTGAGTCAAGATAGTCTTGCTTAATTCTTCCCTGAAATCACCCTTAGGGGTGTTTTCCCCATGCGGTTTCTTCACTCAATTTCTTGGTTTTCCACTTGATTGTTTTTGTTCATGGTTTCTTGGGACTTCAAGATTTGCTGTCTGCCTCACTTTGATTTGAAGTTTCTTATTCCTTGTTTCAAGATTTAGTCGGATTATTGTTTGCCTGTGATTTAGTCGAGTGGCATCATTGTTTGCGTTAGGAATTTTGAATTTCTATTAGCCTGATGGGCATCGTTCGTTGGCTTTGAGTTTGCTCAAGATTGAGAACCATGAGAAAGTAGCTGCCAAAATATAGATAAATTTAAAATTTAACATGAAAAACAATTAGATTTTATAATTCTCTCTAAAACTTAGATTTTATTGTATCAAAATTCGAATAAAATTAGAATAAAAAAATATGAAAGAAACTAATTAAACTAATAAAATGAAAAAAAAAATTAATAGTCATACAAAAATATGGGGAACCAAATAATAAGAGCAATAATAGTAAGACATTTAAATATACAATAGACTCACATATGTAATATAAGATAAAAGTCCATAATTGCATTCACAAAAAAATGAAAAAAGAAACCTAAAATTGACAAATGAACTTGTAACCACATACCTCTATTTATAAGCAATATTCAAGCTTATATTGGAAAGAATTTTGAATTTGAATTATCAATTAAATGGAATGTAAATTAAAATCCAAACAAAATAAGTATCAACATGAGTAAGTATGACAGTTAATGCGCGCACACTAAAATTTGAGCCATCAGTTTATTATCTTTGAATAATTTAAATTTGAATTTGAATTAATGGATATATACAAAATATAAATGAAATAATTACATTTTACAACAATTTATTTTTGAATAAATAGATTATTATTATAATTATATATTATATAATGATAAAGACATCTCAAAGCATTGCAGAAACAACTCAAATGCTAACTCTAATTATTTCCAATTCTATTGATATGTTTTAGGACTCATTTATTTAAAATTAAAAGGTAAGTGATTTATCAATAATTTAGATACTTGTTTTACCAACTTTGGAATCAAGCCCCTCTGTTTTTTTTTTTTTTCTTTTCAGTAAATCCTCGTAGTTGATACCAACCAAAGGTATTAGTCTGTTCTCTTGATAGTATGAGTGACTATTTTAGAAATTTTGTCAAAAACAGTGGCACTCTTTTTAAGTTTTTGGCAATCTTTCAACATCAACCTATTTGCTGAATAGGAAGGGGTGGATGTCAAAAGGTTTCTTGTTTCTTTTTATTTTCTTGATGTAAATCTCTGGTGTACTGTATTATTTTTATTGTAATTATATAGCCCTTTGTTCATTCAAAAAAAAAGTATTAGTCTTTCCATTATATGCCATTGATAAAATCTAACTAACCAACAGAGGTTGAGTTTAGCGAAAGTAGTTAATCCTTTACAATATAATAAATTAAAGTTTGAATTCTTATTGGGAGAAGTGCCTACATTTAGTACTCGCATGTGACTTGAATAGAATTACTTCCAATCAGAGGATACCTGTGAGCAACTAAAAAAAATGTTGATAAGAAAAAGTATATTATTAAATTATATATATATATATATATATATATTAAATAGGGGAAAAATTAAAAGATTATTAAATTTTTAAATAGTTAGTAAGTTTTAATATTTTCAATGGTTCATTAAAATATGTCGGAAATAACTTAAGAACATGATTAAAGGAATATTATATAATGATGAAAAAATAGAAACAATTTCAATGCTAACTTTACTCTATATTTTAGATTTTATAAGTCTGCTACTCATTCATGTTCCTAAAAAATATGACGTCTTCATCAGTTTTAGAGGTGAGGACACTCGCTCTAACTTCACCAGCCATCTGTACAAAGCTCTCTCTGATACAACCTTCATCGATTTGAGCTCAACAGAGGCAACGAGATTGCACCATCACTTCTCCAAGCAATCCAAGACTCAAGGATCTCTGTGGTGGTTTTATTTGAAAACTACGCTTCCTCCAAGTGGTGTTTAGATGAATTGGTCCACATACTTGGATGCAAAAATCATGAGGGACAGGTCGTGATCGCTATCTTCTGTAAAGTTGACCCCTTGGATGTTCACAAGCAGAATAGGACTTTCAAGCGGGCATTTCAAAAGCATGAGCAAGATTTCACCCACAACCTCCAAAAGGTGAATGACTGGAGAAAAGCTCTTATTTTAAGACTACCAATTTGTCTGGTAAGGATTCTCAATCATACATGTCAGTCTTCACTGGATGGTAAATTAACAGAAATCCCTGGCAACATTAATGCCTTAACAAGGTTAGAATATTTGTCAATGGATAAAACTAATGTAGAGAGCTTGCCAGCTTCCATAAATCATCTTGCAAACCTGAAACTACTTTCCTTAAGAGAGTGCAAGAGGCTTAGGTCTATACCTGGACTTCCTCCCTTACTTGAAGAACTAAATGCCGGGGGATGTACTTCATTAGAGACTGTATCCTTGGACTCTATTCTAGTAGAGTTCTGTAGAACGTTATAAATTCAACTTCAGCGATTGTGTGAAGTTGGATAAGATAATACTTCACTTCACTTAATTGAGAAATTAACTCATTTCTTAATAGATTTAGCAACTTGTGGAAGAGATCCTTCTTATGATAGTTATTGTTACCAAGGAAGTAGAGTTCTAGAGTGGATTAGATATAAACAAACAACAGAGGCTTCCAATGTTGTTGAATTTCCTTGTGATCTTTGCGAATTACAAAGCTTCTTCTTTTACTGCATTCGACCTCCTTTCACCTTAGACAAAGAGTAAAGTATTTTGTAATTATGGCTTGGTGCTTTTTGTAATACTTTATTGATGTATGTGTAGGGTATGTACAGAACCCTAGGAATAAAGTAGACAGTAAATTACAGAGGTTGTGCACGCTATTCACGTAATATTACAATGAGCTATAACCTAAATAATATCACTCTGGAACAGTTGTAATGTGCAGCTATCTGTTGGGCTTCATAATACTAAAGTGAGCCTAATATCTATTGGGCTTAGAAGGTTGTTTACTTTCTATTTCAACATGCCCCCGCAAACGAGGGATCAGAGCTTTCAGCAGCTCGAGTTTGGAGAGGAAGGCCCAGTGTCTAGAATGAGAAAGTGCTTTAGTGAATAGGTCTGTGATTTGCTCAGGAGAGGGTACATAGCACACAAAAAGCTGTCTTTCAAGTACTCTGTCTCGAACAAAATGCACATCCAATTCTATGTGCTTTGACCGTGCATGATAAACCTGGTTAGAAGCAAGTGTAGCAGCACTAAGGTTACCACACCACGTGATCGGTGGTTGACGAAGATGAAGCTGGAGTTCTTAAGTGAACAATTGAATCCACGATAGTTTAGAAGCTAGATCTGCAAGTTCTTTGTACTCAGACTCAACGCTCGATCGAGAGACTACACGTTGTTTCTTAGCTGACCAGGAAATGAGGGTGTCGCTAAAGAAGACACAATATCCGCCTACTAATCTACGATCATCAAGACATACGGCCCAATCAGCATCAGAAAAACCCTGCAAGGTAAGATGATTACTTGGCTTGATACATAGACTGAGATCTGTAGTTCCTTTAAGGTATCTCAAGATCCGTTTTAAGCCTTGCCAGTGAGTATCTCTTAGTGCACTTAGGAACTGACTCAACTTGTTCATAGAAAACATAATATTTAGCTGAGTATGAACCAAGTACTGTAATGAACCAATAATCTATTTGTAGAGTATCGGATCTTTAAGGAGAGTACCCTTTTCTTTGGAAAAATACTGATTTAGAACCATAGGGGTTGGAATAGAGGAAGCATTCAACATTTCGCATTTCTTTAGAATATGTAGGATATATCTTCTTGCTTTAGATATAATCCTATTTCATCCCTGTAAGCTTCAATGCCCAAAAAATGATGAAGTTGTCCCAAATCTTTTAGGGCAAAATAGGTATTTAGTTTCTTTATGAAAAGATTTAGCATTATAGAGACATTTCCAGTAACAATGATGTCATTTACATAAATTAAGACAAACATGATTACTTTGTCATACCTCAAGAAGAATAGAGATGAATCACTTCTCAAGTGAATGAAGCCCTAGTTAATTAGAGTCTTCTTAAGCTTATCAAACTAGGCTCTTGGTGCCTGTTTTAAACCATAAAGTGCCTTTCTGAGTAGACACACATGATATGAAAATTTAGAATTAATGAAACCTTTAGGTTTTCTCATTAGAACTTATTCTTGAAAATCTCTATTCAAAAAGGCATTATTGATGTCCAGTTGTTTAATCTACCAGTTGAAAGTTACAGCAACAGTGAGAATGAATATAAGCGTAGAGGCCTTTAGAACTGGACTAAAGGTCTCATCAAAGTCAACACCAGGACTTTGTTGAAAACCTTTAGTCACTAATCTAACCTTGTTCTTCTAAAAAGAACCATCTGCATTAAACTTGGTTTTAAAAACCCATTTACAATCCACTAAATTCCCTTGACCAGTGTAAGGTACTAACTCCCATGTCTTGTTGAGGAGCAAAGCATTATACTTATCTTGCATTACTTTTCTCCAATAATGACTTCCAATATTTTATTAAATTTATTAGTATTTTTAATATAATTGGAAGTCATTTATTAAAATTTTGTTAGCAAAAATATGATTAAATAGATGAATGTGGGTGAAAATGTGCTTGAAAATATGTTGGAAGTTAGTGGACCAATTCTATCATTTATTCTGAATTTTATGCATGTAGGGAGGCCCAATTTAGGGACCCAAAGAAGAGAATTTTGGAGCCCAAGTCAAAGAAATTAAAGCTGAAAAGAAAATCTGAACAGGTCATGTTCGCTGCAACAAAAACGTGTTTTGCTACAGCAAAGCACGATTTTAATGAAACGCATAGTTTTGACTCTCAGTGAATTTTTAAAGCTTGAGGGACCTCATAGCAGTTCCAGTTCATCTTCAACCAGTAGCTGCATGTCCAGGGAGCATTTTAAGGTGGAAAAACAGTTGGAGAAGCTTGGGGAACGCTTGGGTCTTGTTATTTGTAACAGAAATCATCCTTCATAAGCTTTCTTCTCCCTTTTCTCTACATTTTGATGTATCTTTTGCTAAATATTATCGTTTCATGCTGTTTCAA